CGATTACGTCGTCTACGTATGCCCCTACTGTTTTGCCGATCTGGGTAGCCAGACATGTCTGAATCATGCGCTGATATGTTGCGCCGGCGTTTTTAAGTCCGAAGGGCATCGTGTTGAAGCAAAATGGTCCATATGGAGTAATGAATGCCGTTGCGGCTTGGTCCGCTTCCGCCATCTTGATTTGATGGTAGCCGGAGTATGCGTCCAGGAAGCACAATGAATCGTGCCCTGCGGTAGCATCGATTATTTGGTCGATGCGGGGGAGGGGGAAGGGGTCCTTTGGGCAGGCCTTGTTGAGGTCTTTAAAATCGACACATAGGCGCCAGGATTTGTCCTTCTTTGGTACCATTACCAGGTTTGCTAGCCAATCTGGATGTTTGATGTCTCTGATGAATCCGGCTTCCAGTAGTTTGGCTAGTTCTTCTCCCATTGCCTGTCTTTTGGGTTCAGAAAATCGTCGAAGAGCCTGTTTGACTGGCTTGAACCCTTTTAGGATATTTAGGCTATGCTCTGCCAATCTGCGTGGGATTCCCGGCATATCTGAAGGGTGCCAGGCGAAAATGTCCCAATTTTCCCGAAGGAATTCTCGCAGTGCGGCGTCTACATCAGGGTTCAACTGTGCCCCGATGGAGGCCGTCTTTGTCGGGTCCGTTGGATGGACCTGGAATTTTACTATTTTGTCCGCTGGTTTAAAGGAGGTGGATTTGGATCTCTTATCGAGTATCACACCGTCCCTATTCACCGTAGAGCGCAGCGCGGTGAGTTCTTCTGCCGCTAGGGCTTTGGATAGTGCCTCCAGGGCTAATGCGGTTGTCTTGTTTTCGGCGCGGAGTGCTATGTCCGGGTCACTAGCAAGAGTGATGATCCCGTTGGGTCCGGGCATTTTGAGCTTCATGTACCCGTAATGGGGTATAGCTTGAAAAATTATGAATGCCTCTCGTCCTAATATAACGTGATATCCGCTGCTGAACGGGGCCACTTGGAACGTGACTTCTTCAGACGTGTAATTGTCCGGCGAGCTGAACACCACATCAAGTGTGATTTTTCCGGTGCAGCGCGCTTCCTGGCTAGGGATTATTCCTCTGAAGGTTGTGCTGCTTCGCTCAATGCGGCTCCAGTCTATTTCCATTTTTTGCAGAGTTTCCTCGTAGATGAGGTTTAATCCGCTGCCGCCATCCATGAGTACCTTGGTAAGTCGAAAGCCGTCCACTATTGGACTAAGGACCAATGCGGCTGGTGCTCGGGCTGTTCGGAATTTAGGTTCGTCGCTAGCGTTGAAGGTGATGGCCGTGTCGCTCCAAGGATTTGCTGTTGCTACTTGGTAGACTTCGGCGAGGCTACGGATTGTTCGTTTCCGCATATTGTTTGATGCGAAAGTTTCGAAGACTGTTGATACCGTACCGGTATTGTTGGGGTGGTTTTCCGGGGCTAGAAGCTCCTCGCCACTTTTGGCCACCTGCCGTAATATCCAACATGCTCGAAGGCTATGTGTTGGGGTGGCGCCCTCTGTACTGTGAATTTTACAGGGTCCGCTAAGCCATCCCTCCAGTACGGTTCCGTGCCCTTTATGGGGTTTTTGCTTTTTGGTTTTTGTACCTGGTGCCTGAGTGTAATGCACCCTTTTGTTGCGGCCTAGGGTTGTATTCGGGGCCGGATTGTCCCAGAAGTTATTTTCGGTTTTCCGGAAACTCTCCATCGCACAGGACTTTCGTACTATGGACGCCAGGTCGGCAAAGCGTGTGATTCCACGACGGCTGACGGCGTTCAAGATTCCCTCGTCCGTGCAATTATTGCAAAAAATTGAGATTGCGTTATCCTCTCGGCAGTCCTTTATCCTGTCCATAACCAGGAGGAATCTGGCCCAGTAATGATGTACTGTTTCAGCAGGCTCTTGCCGGATTAGAGATAGATCGCATATATCTGGGTGGGTGGGTGGAATTGAGTCCGAAACCCTACCCATCTCAAGGCTCAAGGGCCGAGAAGTTTCATTGGAAGCTTGGAAAGTGGAACGTTGTCCAACGAGTCCGATCCGATGTCTGACTTTAGGTTCAGCGCTTGATCGAAGTCCGTCCCTCCGCGGGAATCCGGCATGGAGGGTTCGGAAGCCCGGACATGACTAGTTTTCAATATAGGAGAAGAGTCTCCGCGATGTTCCTCTACCACCGCGACGTGGTGGGTAACCTGGGGAGAGTTAATCTCTCTCAGATCGGTTTTAAGCCCAATCTGATTGTAGTCTGTAGCGACTCCCAGGGTGGCAATGCGATCCAAGAGTTCGTTTACGGACGAGAGCTCTGTTGGATCCAGCTGCTCGGCGAATTCCGAGTTGATGTGAAGATTGCTTTTGATGACTCGAGAGGTCGTCGTCGAAGCGGTGGCCGAACAGGCGGTCATGAGAAAACCACCTGGCCGGATAGTTTGGCCGGCGGCCAAGGCTCCTTTGGCGAAGATACCGTCCTTGAAGACGGGAAGAGGCATCCTTCCTATCGGCGACGGCACAGAGGAACTCTCAATGAAAGCACCAATGTCGGTGTCAAAACCGGCGGATCTCGGGTAGGGGGTCCCGAACTGTGCGTCTAGGCGGATGGTAACAGGAGACAAGGGACACGATGTTTTTACCCAGGTTCGGGCCCTCTCGATGGAGGTAAAACCCTACTCCTGCTTGATTGATATTGATGATATGGGTAGTACAAGAGTGAATCTACCACAAGATCAAGGAGGCTAAACCCTAGAAACTAGCCTATGGTATGATTGTTGTAATGGTTGTTGTCCTACGGACTAAAACCCTCCGGTTTATATAGACAACGGAGAGGGCTAGGGTTACACAGAGTCGGTTACAACGATAGGAGATCTACATATCCGTATCGCCAAGCTTGCCTTCCACGCCAAGGAAAGTCCCATCCGGACACGGGACGAAGTCTTCAATCTTGTATCTTCATAGTCTTGGAGTCCGGCTGACGATGATAGTCCGGCTGTCCGTACACCCCCTAGTCCAGGACTCCCTCATTATCTATCCTCAGTGGACCACTATTGTTAAGACAATACCCGACCCTGTTTGAGAGAAAAGGAAAAGATTTGCCCAAGAGCAAAGAGTGCTAGAAAGGATGTCGAGCGTGCCTTTGGTGTTTTGCAATCTCGATGGGGCATCGTTCGGTATCCTGCTAATACTTGGAGCACGCAGAAACTATGGGAGGTGATGACTGCTTGTGTGATCATGCACAATATGATCGTAGAAGACGAGCGCCCGGAACGTCTGTACGATCAAGGCTTTCAGTTTCAGGGTGAGAATGTTGTGCCTGAGCATGGAGTAGCGGCAACATTTGAGCAGTTCACTCAGTTTCATGAAGACATGCGTGATTGGGAAACTCACGTGCAACTGCAAAATGATTTGGTTGAGCATATGTGGACTCATGTTGGCAACCAATAGATGTATCTACTTTTATTCGTTCGTAAAACTATGTGAAACATTTTTATTTTTATTTGGCCTGTAAACTATACTATTTATTTGGACGGACTATTTTGTTTGTTTTAAATTTTCATTTCACAATATGTTGAATGCAATGCAAAATTGGGCTGTCAGGCGGCCACGCCTGCACATATGGGTCGGCGCGTTGGGCGCGCTACCGACCCATATGAAAAATAGGGCGGACACCGGGCGGGCGGCCGACCCAAACGGACAAAAAGCGGACGAAATCGCCGTCCGTTTGGGTCGGCCCGTTGGAGTTGCTCTTATTCCGCTTCAAGTAGTTCTTCATTTAGGAATTTTCTCACCAGCAGCAAATTCCTCAGTGAAGAACTCAAAAAAATCGCCTATTCACCCCCCCCCCCTTCTAGTCGATATAACGCACTTCCATACAAAGAGATGGACCTCGGGAAGAAAACATCACCTCATTTGGAGGTTTCAGAAAAGAAGACGACCGACATTACGACCGCACTTGCTTGTACTGCCGGTCGTACCATTTGCTGCCGCCTTCTCCTAGTCGACTACTTCCACCCTCGAGCAATTGAATTTGTCATACAACAAACAGAGAGACTCAACCACATGAACTAGTGCCAAAAACCTCGCGGCTAGTGTATAATGAGCTAATATCATCTCCTACTCCCTCCATTCCGAAATAGATGACCCAACTTTATACTAACTTTATACTAAAAATTAGTATAAAGTTGGGTCATTTATTTTGGAACAAAGGGAGTACTTGCAAAGTAAAAAAGTAAAAATATCACAGGGACTTGCAAGGGTACATTAATTGTCATGTCTTGTCGCTTTTCCTTTTGGTCTATTGGTCGTAATGCGTGCATCGTCTGGTGCAAAGGTGACGAGAGTTTGCTCTGCATTTTGTAACCTGGTAGGTCTTTCGCTAGAAGCCTAGAACAAAATCTTGGAAGTTGGAAATCGGAGCCCCTTCTTGGGACAGAACGTAGCACATCATCAACTTTTCCCTTTCTAGCTAGTAGGATCCCACCTACCGCACCAGGAAAGCGCAGAGTGGCAAATCTAGCATCAAGCAACCATTGTACTAGAACGGATCCAGCACTCACAATATAAAACGATAAAAAAAAGCAAAATTAGATTCCATTATCCAAAGAAAGTGGCCAATTAGCCATGTACAGAGCACGAGAATCCTGCATAATTAGGCAGGGGTAATGCACGAGAAGATGCTAGTAATTTGCATTAAGGAAAGCTCTCATTCCTAGGCTAGCTGTCATATTTGACTTGAGCAGAAGGCAGAAGGTGGGATTCTTCTTGGAGGGCAGCGCAAACCCAAAAGGGGATAGATTCTTGAAGGCTTCCATGAAGCTAAAGCAATCCCATCTGGAAGGCTCCAATACAAAGTGCTCTTTGCCTGCCTCCAAGACAACAGTTTCCTTGCCCCTCCTCTGTCCATCTCCCCCTCTCTCATCCTCACCACCTCCAAATACAAGCAAGCCATAGTTAAATAAATGCAAGGCTTGGTGCCCCTTGGCCTTGGAGCTGCTTCTTCTCTACAAATACATTGCGCGGCATGGACGGCAACTTGAAAGCGCTGAGGTAAAGAACTGCGGCATCTAGAGCCGGGCTTGCTAAAAGCTTGGTTGATTAACTGTGAGCTTCTTCTCCATGCTTAAGTTTGATTTCATCTCGGAGCGATGAGTTTTATGTTTTCTGCTTCCAAAAAAATCCTTTATGTTCTTCTTGTCTTCGTCTTTATGAGGGCTTCAAAGTTTTCCAAGCCAAAAATAAATAAAAGTTGATCCTTCCCTTTTAGTTTAGTTTACTTGTTCTTAGATCATCCTTTTGCAGGGTTCAGTTTTCTGGAGTAAACAAGAGGGACAAAGGTGGTAGGGAAGATTCAATAATACTGCCACAAGAAAACTCAGCTCTTGGAAGAGGTATGTGATCAAGAATTGCTCTTTCAGTTTACAAACATAGTACAACTGCAAAAATCATTATTGTTATTTTGTTCAGTAAAAGTAGATTTCAGTTAGATTCCTGTCCCGTCACACTATGATCAAATCAGTTAATCCACACTGTAAAACATATACTATGGAACCGTCAGATATTCAGATGCTATGAGCAAGGAAACTACTCTTCAAACAGATCATGTCAGAAACCAGCTATAGGTTTTTCCTAATTGTCTTCATGCCGAACTGAATTTTTGTTAGAAGAAACAAATCCATCATATGATGAACCAAACAAACCAAAAAAAGGTACAAAGAACCTGACTGGCATTGCCACCTTCCAGCACAAATGGATAGCGGCGACGAATACAACGCTATATTCGCAGCCACAATTGCCGCGGCGGCATACGCAATCGCAGCAGAAGAAGAGAAGCAGAAGGCCAGCCCCATTCAGCCGCCAACCAAGAGAGGTGAAAGCATGAGAAAGCCTACAGGAGGCAGCAAGATCTCAAGATGGTTCAGTGCCAAAGAGCGTGCAGAAGATGCTGACGAGGGACCTGGTACTCTTATCTATTGCCCATTAACACAATCCCTTGTCACTTCTACTCTACTAATAAAACCTCTTATAACAATGTTGCGTCGCATCATCGTTTCAGCCAATGTATCGGTAAGGAGGCCGCTGAAACCAGAACAAAGGAAGCCCGGAGGCGTGGGTTCAGACCAGAAGGTGCCATTGCCACCTCCACCAAAGATGCATGATTCTTCTGTGGGTGCAAAAAAGGCTCCGGGTTCCTCCAGAAAATCACCAGACAAGAAAGGAAGCAAGAGGTTTGAGCAGGAGCAGGCAGTTCAGAGGGTGCCATCCGCTGTCAGGCCAGCAACATCGTATCAGTCTAGGCGGAACGACGATGGCGCAGCTGGAGTAACTGCTATTGCCGGCACACAGACCAAGGCTGATGCATGGGAGAAGGAAAGGCTTGCTAGAGTCAGGGAGGAGTGAGTATAAATATTTTAGTTTTTGCTGATTATTTGATGCGGCTACAGCTAACATAACCGCCGAATTTAGGTATGAAAAGATGATGGAGACCATAGCCGAGTGGGAGACTGAGAAGAAGGTGAAGGCCAAGCGCCAAAAAGAACAGAAAGAGGTTTTTGTTGATTCGAAAGCATAATTTGATAGAGAAGAGCAGCATGTTTCTCTTTCTTTTTAGAAGAATAGGGCACTGTGTTTTTCATTGTTATGATTAATTATTTTATTTGCGAGGGGAGATGGGGTACAAAACCTTATGTGCAAAACCAAATCATTATCATGATTCATGATGCAATTAGTTACTAAATGATGGGGCTGAAGGAACTGAGAATTTGCTAAATTGCAGGTTACGTTGGACAGAAAGAGAGCGAAACAACTGGCAGAGTACAATCAGGAAATGACAAGGATCAACAAAATTGCTGGAGGAGCAAGGTCAATGGCTGGGGAAAGGAAATACGAGGATGAGAAAAAGATCAGAGAGAAGGCCAAGAAGATACGTTCAACAGGGAAGTCTCCCCGTGGATGCTGCTTTTGAGACATTGCCATTCAACAAAATTTGAAACGAGATGAACGGCGCGGCTTGAATGCGATATAAGTCTCACGACAGCCATGTATTGTATTATAAAACGTATTTGGTTTGATGAGTGATAAGAGTGTAGAGTTACATCCAACATGCAATTGCATTGCATCAGGATCAATATAAAAAAGTTTGAAGGGTGTGGATGATGAAAAGTACCAAGGAATTATCTGTGCATACATCTTCAAGATGAAGCAGGGACTGTATGAAAATAGGCATTGCAACAGAGCACGTTTAGGAGCTCCCCTGCATCAGCTCTAGGCCTATAACATACAAATACACCCACCAGGATAGCAAATTCAAACCCAAGATTAAGAGCAGCATGCTTGTAACAAATTTCAAACCAACACTTGTATTATAGAACTTCACAAATCCAAGCCAACAAAAGCACACTTTGTTTTGTTTTCTTGGTGTCTCAATCGATGTACATTGAAATATAATTGAAAACACTATCTGCATGAAGCCCCTTGGCTATGCACTGTAATAATCCAAACCTTTGGGCAAATGTTACTTCTCGCTAAAAGAGATGCAACACACAAGCTATACAAAAATACTCTTCACTCAATCCAGTTTCGGAGGAAAAAGAAGATTCCAGAACATTAATGAGAAAATTTGGTGATTCCGTAAGATGTGCATAATCTACAATGGCTCATCCCGTGGCTTTTCATCTTCATTTTTTTTTGACTGTGAAGACAGTAGGAAAGGCTCCTACTGCATATATATTACTAAAACCTCAGGGGGTACAATTACATGTGTGATTTACATACATGGGTGGTTGTGGCACCACCATGGGGCACCCTAGTTTACAAGACACCTACTGTATGGACCCAAGTATGGCAGATACAATATGTTGTTTGGAAGGTTTCACTCTATATCTAAGATTGTCAAAGTCCAACTTAAACCTCTGTTTCCAGGAAGCAACTGATGGCTTAATTTTCCTAAAGTGGTGGTTGTTTCTCTCCTTCTAGAGACTCCAGGCCGACGTCAAAAAAATATCCATCCACATCTTTCTAGGGTGCACGGTCTTTTGATGTTTGATCATGTCAAGTCTGTCATGCTGCAAAGACCAGTTGAAGCCAAGATGTAGCCAGCATTCCTGACTAAATGTGCAGTGAAAGAAGAGGTGTTCCACCGTTTCTTCAACATGTTGGCCACAGAGGAGGCAGTCAAAGTTTGTCCCAATGTTGTAGTGCCTCCTCTTGAGCATGTTTCTGGTGTTGAGGCGATCAACCAGCAGGAACCACCCGAATGTTTTGAGCTTGGGAGTACACTTTGCTTTCCATAACCAACCGAAGGCTTCATGGGCAGTTACATCTCTGAAGTAGAATCTGTAGTATGATGATGTCTGGAAAGTATTGCCGCCCCAAATACACTGCCAGGTGTCATGTTCCTCCGTAAGAGTGTTTTCGGCCACTTCAAGTTGGATGGATCGCAGCTCATCACGGGCCTGAATAGAGAGCGGGAGTTGAAAGTTTTCCTGCAGATGGGGGGACGTGAAAATGTGTTGGACCGAGACATCTTCAGAGATAGCATATGAGTAGGCTCTCGGGCAACTATCAGCATATATGGACTGGCTCCAATTATCTTTCCAAAAGAGCGTAGAAGATCCATTCCCAATTTTTACGTGCGTGACGCCGCGATATATGGGCATTAGCTGAGTTAAGTCTTTCCACCAGAAGGAGCCACATGCATCATGTGCATGAGGGATGGAGTCACCATAGTAGGAATCCCAAATGAGATGTACCCAAGGGATATCATGCCTGTTGTAAAACTTGTGGAGAAACTTAAGCAGCAAAGCGTCATTCTGTATTTTGAGGTTGACAACTCCCAGTCCACCATTTTTCTTAGGCCTGCAGACCATGTCCCAAGCCGCAAGAGAATTGCTCTTGGTCCCATCCTCGGTCCGTTTTTGCCATAGGCAATGCCTTCTGATCTTGTCTAGTTGGGCCACAATTTTTGGTGGGATGCGAATGGTACCCATAGTGAACATGATAAGAGAGGTTACCAGCGAATTCATTAGAGCAAGTTTCCCCGCGTACGACATTAGAGACATAGCAGCCGTAATGTTTCTTTCTGCTTTGCAAACAAGCGGAGCCAGATCCAGCACGGTCGGACGAGTGGTGCCTAGGGGCAGCCCCAGATATGTGAACGGCATGGAACCCACTGTGCAACCTAACAGCTCAGCCAGTTCTTTGCATTTGTCAGGAGGCGTGTTAATTGGCACAAGTGTGGACTTATGGAAGTTGATTTTGAGCCCTACTGACATGGCGTAATCCTCCAGAATTTCCTTAATCTTGGTGAGTTGTCGGGTGCAAGCTGGCAGGATGATGAGTGTGTCATCCGCGTATTGGATAACTGGGTAATCCCCGTTAGTGTCACGTTGGATTGGTAAGTCCAGGATATTATTCCGAAGAGCCTCGTTGATTGCAGATTGAAGGAGATCCGCAGCTATAACAAATATCAGAGGCGAGAGGGGGTCACCTTGTCGCACACCGCACTTGCATAGGAAAGAACTTCCTGGAGTACCATTTAGAATGACTGAGGATTTGCCAGAATTGAAGATACTTTGCATCCAGTGGAGCCATTTGTCATTGAAACCCACTTTTTTCATAATGTGGAGCATAGCCGAGTGTTGAATAGTGTCAAAGGCTTTGGCAAAATCAAGTTTCAGTAGGATAATCTCATTTTGCGAGGCTTGACACTGGTGAATATACTCGAAGGCCCACGCTAAGCAGTCATGTATGGATCGACCACGCAAGAACCCTACTGATTACGGTGGACTATCTGCAAGATGATTTTTTGGAGACGATTGACCAGTAGTTTGGTGATCAGCTTAAGGCAACAATTGAGCAAAGTGATTAGGCGGAAGTCATTGACCGTCTCCTGGGAGGCATTCTTTGGTATCAGAGTGATATAACCATAATTTAAGCTTTCAAGATTCAAGTCTCCTCTGTGAAATTCATTGCATAAGCTGTAGAAATCATTTTTAATGATAGGCCAACAAGCTTTCAGAAAGGCTCCATTGAAACCATCCGGGCCCGGGGCTTTGTCCGGGGGCATTTCCTTAATCGCAGCATCAATTTCATGCGTTGCAAACGGGGCAGTGAGGCTATCAAAGTCCACTTGGTGACGGAGCAGAGACGATAGGTTGAGTTTCATGTTAGGTTTCGAGCAAGAACCCAACCTTTGTTTGAAGGCTTGAAATAAGATAGCTTCTTTACTTGCATGATCCTTGACAGCAAACCCATTTTCAGATTTTAGGGTAGCAATGCAGTTTCGTCTGAATCGTTCCGTGGCAACAGCTTGAAAAAATTTCGAGTTTTCGTCGCCAAACTTAATCCAACGGATTGTGCATCTCTTCTTCCAGTACTCCTTTTGGTAACTAAGGAGTCGTAGGAGGTGTTTTTTGAGGATTTTTCTGAAGTTACGCTCAGGGATCGAAAGTGTACGTCATTCTTCAAGACTATCCAGCTCAAGAAGGGCCTTATTTGAGTTCTCAATGGCAATTTTTAGGCGGGAAATCTTTTTGTTCCAGTGGGATAGGGCGTATCTGACAGCTTTCAGCTTTTGACAAAGGATCGAAGCTGCATTTTTGTCTTTGCCAAATTTTATGGGTTTATTCCAAGCATCCTCCACAGTCTGCATGAAGCCAGGGTGCGCAATCCAGTAGGTTTCAAACCGGAAGATCTTGCTCCGGGGGATTGTGGATTGAATGACCACGGAGCAGGGAATGTGATCAGATACAGGGCGGCCCAAAGGGTTTACCATGGTATTGGGGAAGGATGTCGTCCAGTTGAGCGAGGTAAAGAACCAGTCTAGTTGTTCCAGCAGGGGGTTGATCTGCATGTTCGACCAGGTGTAAGCCCTACCTTTAATAGGAAGTTCAGTTAAGTCTTGCTCACGGATGAAGTTGTTGAAAGTAAACATATCCTGGGCGTTTCCCCCTGGTAGGTTTCGATTGTCAGGCGATCGAATGAAATTGAAATCTCCAAGCAGTAGCCAATCTTCAGTCGGCGGGATTGTCAAGTCAAACAACCATTTAGTGTAAGTATTACGCTGCTCCCCTTGACACGGGCCGTAGATGTTAACCAACGTCCAAGTATGCGCATTTTGAGTGGAAGTGAAGGTGACGCCTAACGCAAATTGTTCCTCAAAGGCGATCGTACCAGAGAAGAGAGCACTATTCCAGATCGTAACAATTCCCCCCGACGCTCCGACAAACGGGATATACGCAAATTTATCAAAGCGTTTCGGACAAATCAACTTGAGAGTGCTAGCATCAAACGTCTGCATTTTAGTCTCTTGAAGACAGATAATCGCACATCCACTAGACTGGATCGCATTAGATAAGGCTAAGCGCTTTTTGTCCGCATTAAGACCACGAATATTCCAACAAAGTACGTTCCACGACTGCAAAAGAGCCATTAAGCGAAGAAATAAAGCGAGGAATCAAGCTGAGGTTGATGAAGAGGTCCCCGCCGGGTCTTCAGTGAAAGCAGCAACCGTGAGCTCCTCCTCCGGGATAGCACATAGATTTGTGCCAATGGCTTGCATTGTGGCAATGTCAGTTGGAGGAGGGAGATCTTCAGGAGCCATCTGATTTGAAGCAGCAGTTGCAGGACCAGCAGAGACGGCTGTAGGAACAGTGCGCGGTTTTACCTTGGATTTAGAGACCTTGGCTTCAGACAGAGAGGTGGTGCGAAATCCATCATATTTGTTAGTACGAGTGCTGCGACGGAGAGTGGAAGTGTCAATGGGGACTGGCGCCTTTCCTTTGCGTTTATGAGCTGAAGAACCCACTGCACTGATTGTAGTTTCAGAAATGGCACCTGTCGCAATCTGAAGCAGGCCAGTCTGAGTTTCAGAGTGATGTGCAGCCAAGTCCATGAGGTGTGAATCAGTCTCCGAATCAGAACTGAAATTGTTGGTTTGTACCACCACAGTGGCAGAATCCTCAGTTTCAGTCAGCAGCACATGAGAAGCTTCCATGGAGCCCTGTGGCTCCAGCCTGGACTGATCAACAAGTGGTGCCTGGCTGTCAGAAAGTTCCTCAATGAGCACTGATGCAGTAGTTGCCGGAGCAAGCAGAGTATTTTGTGAGAATTGAATGCCAGTAGGGCCAGCAGTGACCTGAACTTCAAAGTGCATAACCTCGTGTCTGAATCCAAAACCAGCAGCCCATGGTCCCCTTGTAGCAAGTATAGGCCGGATGGCATTGAAAAGTGCAGTATTGAGTTGCTGTCGGGGAACAGGGTTGGCCAAAAGGATTTCCATGAGGGAATCGCCCTGAGCAGATAGACCAAAGCGCATACCTTGGTCATGAATGTCGACAGAGATGGTAACCACGTCAGCAGCAACAGATGGAGCCGCCAGAGCAGCAGAAAAGGCTCCTGGAGAAGTCACTGGCATAACAAGCAAGTCGGAGACAGTGGCATCAGAGTCTTCCGAGGATGTATATTCAGAAGATTCAGTAATCGCCTCATGCCATGCTTGCATAGGATTGTCAGTGACATTATTGTCAGGAACCACTCCATGCATAACAGTCAAACCCTGAGAGGCCAGCCAGGCTTGGAAGTTCATTAGGTGGGGTGGCATAGGAGGAGCTGGAGGTTCAGGCCAGGGAGCCCACCCTTGGTTGGGAGCTTCTGCATTGTTGTGATGCACAGGGTGATTGGGGGCAGCATTCTGTACCAGCCAGTTGTGAACTTGCTGCTGGTAAAGTTGTTCAGCAGTGAGTTCAGGCCCGAACTGAGGATGTGGATTGCCATCTGCGGGAGGAGGTTCTTCATTTGGAGGCAGCACATCAGGCAGCAACCCATTCCAGTCACTGCTTCTCAAAATAGTAACCTGGACCGTCCAGCAGTCTCGTGCACCTCCCAACTGCCAAACAATAAAACTCTTGGGCACGAGATTCAGACGGATAACGCGAGCTTTGATGAGCATGTACCGTCTATCCTGGCGAGGATTGTACCAATTGACAAGAGATCCATAACCCCCTAAAGCCTTGGTGATGTAGTAGTCTGTTTGGTAATCGTAAGGAAATCCAAAAAACATCAACCAAATCTCTGGGCCAAATGAGGTAGTGCGTCTGTTAAGAGCTTCATTATGCGGCACAAAGGTGATAAGCAAATCCTCCTCCTCAAGCTCTAGCGGGGTATTGACAGCCGTATCTCTCAAGAAAGAACTTGCAAAACCAAAGATTCCAATACCCAGAGGATGATCACTACATTCAGTGGTAAAAAGATGCGCTTCATGCAGCAAACCTTCAATCGCCGTTCGAACGGCAGCCCGGCGATGCAGAGGAACATATGCGCTTGCTTCCGCAATCGCCAAGAAGTCGTGGTGAGTTACCTGCCTGTGGTGTAGTGGGATTGCTATCCTGGAGAAGTATCACCGTTTCAAAAGCACCAACCAAAGCTTTTACCTTGCTTTTCCTAGACTCCACAAGCTTGCTTGCAGTTTCTTCTATTACATTGTTGAACAGTCCCTGCGCATCCTTCTTGTCTTGTGTATCTTGATGCCTCAGTTTCACTGAAGGAGATTCCAAGTCAGGCTCAGTAGGAACACCATTATTTCTGGTATTCCTCTTATAAATCCTTCTCACTAGCTGACCTTCACCATTTGCAACTTCATTGGCAGCTCTTCTTCTAAATACGAGTCTTCTCGGGCCATTACTGTCTGGTGTGAGTTCTACAATTTTACCCCTTTTAAACTTCAATTTGTAAGGTGTGGTACTAGCATCATCTGGGTGAAGTGATGAGATCCTTTGCAGCCTTTGGCCTTTAGCCTTTGAAGATTCATCATTTGGGTTGATTGCTTCTCCTTCATCTTCTGCATCAAAGTCATCTAATTCAATTAACTCATAATCATATTCTTCATAATTCTCATCATCTGATAGTTCTTCCACTAACTGTTGAGCAACAATCATTGATTTCAGTTCATCCTGTTCAGAGGTGTCATTGTTATGGACACTTGCTAACTCATCGGTTTGTAGATTAGAATCAATTGGCACAGGCTCTGATTGCTCCAGAAGTTCACCATCGGATGAAGTTTCTAAAATTGATTGGCAATGAGATGTACTATTAATATTCCCAACATCGTCAATTTCAGCAGCCTCGACATTTTCAGCTACATTTCCTGTAGTGCAATCGAGGCAATACTCAGGATCCTCAGCATGTTTTTCATCAACTGCCCACAGTTCTGGAGGTCCTTGAAGGTCTTCATGAGCACCCATGTCCTCCTTATTTTCAGTGATTACAGACTCCACACTAGCACTGACTTTCACTCGATCAGCTTCCATTCCCGAGCTACTTTCAGTTAATGCAGAATCATATACATCTGCATTTTGCACAGCTGTTAATTGTTTGGGTAGCTGGCAGAGAGCTGCATCATCTGTTCGGATGTCTTCATCCGTTGAAGCTCGACCATTAGTGGAATTTTTCTCTGGTTGCATATGCTCTAGATCCGGTTTACTGAGCATAGTCTTGAGTTCTTGATTATCAAATGATAGCTGCAATTCAGCAGCAACGGGGAGTTCAGAGACCAATGGTTCACTCACTTCATTACTTTCCACCACACCATCCTCTAAACTGAATCTACTTGTTTCTTTTGGTGCTGGTTGAGATTCTTCTACATATTCTGTGGCATGTGAAGACATTTCTGCTAGCGCTGACTCCACAAGATGGCCTGTAATAGATGAACCTTGCACATCATCTTCATCTGTTTCAACAGAAGCAGTCAACTCAGACTGGACAGAAGACGATATTTCAGACATATCCAAGCCATCCTCTGAACCGATTCTGCTTTCTTCTTTTGGTGCTGTTTCAGATATGTCTCCATATTCTGTGGCATCTGGAAACAGCTCCACTACTGTTGACTCCACATCACCTTCTTGTAATTCAACAGATGCAATAAACTCATCTTCAATGGAGAATGGTGTTCTGGGCACATCTGAGCGTTCCTTGCAATTGATACTTGCATTGCTGGACCTCATAGTTTTACCAGTATTGCTTGTACGCTTGCCAGTAATAATTGCTGGTGAAGAAGGAACCTTTCCTTTCAGAGTACTTTTATCTCTTGAAGATACAAGATTATTAGAAGCCTGAGATGACACAGGAACTTTCTTAATCAAGTTCAGTTTAGTAGGAAGTGAAGCTGGTTTCTTAACTAACGGTTGCTTGAGAGTAGTGGCCTTCTCCACAGTTCTAGCTTTTTCCTGCAGTGTCTTCTCTGGCAACTTTGAACCCTTGACTGGCATTGCTGCTTTTTTATCAAAATTGGGTACTCCACTGGAATACCTTGGATTAGCCAAAGTCCTCTGGGTAACCATTGGATGTTTCTTTCTGCCATCAGAGTTCACGTTTTTATGATCTGCTGATGAAGCGATGCGTGGAACCAAGTGTTCTGATGATGCAGCGCCTCTTAAATTTTCTGATTTTATCTTGTTAACAACACGATCAGCTTCACCCAGTGATATACTCGACTTGACTAGTGAAATATTTCTTCTGTTCCTGACATCCTTGGGTGCATCTAAGATAACTGACCCATGCAGTGTCAAATTATTTGAATGAGTTGGAAGTTTCTTTCTTCTCCCCCCTGAAAGCAGAAGCTTTTCTTCAGAAGGATTCCTGTGTCCATGCTTGCATAAATCATGACATGAGCCTGTAGAAGGTCTTAGATAGCGTGATACCGTCTTCTCATTCTTTTTCGAATCTGAAGCTGAAGCTGAACTCGTAGGAGTGGTGGTACCAAATGAATTTCTTCTTTCCAAAACTTTGGACATTTAGGCCTTCCAGTAGCTGAGATAATGCTTGTCTCAGCTGAGTGTTATTCCTTTTGAATTGGAGAATATCTAAAATGCTGTAACAAAGAGCATGTGTTATTAATCAGAACTTGCATAACCACAGAAAAAAAGGTAATTTTAAACAAAAATAGTTAGCATCACAGAACTGTACCGGTTTCAATCACTTAAATAACCACACAAATTTGAGATACCTGACCTGAATCTTATCTGTGAACACTGCACGCTCTAGAGTAAGGCAGTATGCATCATCTTAAATTACAGTTATGGTCACCTGAATAGCATGTGTGCGATTTGATCCCAACTGCTTACTGGCAGGGAACTTTTTTGCATGCAAAAAACATGTTGCACCTCATCCTAGTTATTAACTTTCAAAAGAATTTATAGTGTGACAATTGATATGCTGCTGCTGTTGTTGGGGGCAAACAGTATCATAACAAGGCAAATGGAAATTCTTCCTACAAGGTTGAAGTGCTTGAAGCCAAACTGAAAGATTAAAGAAAAAAAGTCTTAAGCACAACCTAGATAAAACGCCGTCACATGAGTAGCATACCTCCCAAAAGAAGATATCGAGAAGTTCGATGTTCACACCTCTGACAACAATTATTGAAGAGTGTATCCAAATCTGATTCCCGAGAAAAATAATAGGCCTGAAAGTGCAAGGGGATAAGGTCATTTTGGCATCAATAATGTCAATATCCACTATTCACATATTAATTGAGGATAAAGAACAATAAAGTGCCCATCCTCGCAACTAGCTTGCACTATCATTTATTTCTTCACCAACTGTTATTGTACCTGCTGCACTACTGATTTTTTTTTTATAAAAATTGAAAGAAAAAAGGACGATCATAAAGATATTGACAAGCTCTTCACGACTGAAATGATGGAAATGGAACAGACAAGTGGATGACATAACACCTATTTCTTTGATATAACAGAAGGGAAATCAAGACTTCACGAGTTCAACCGTCCATGTCTAGCACTAGCACAAAAGAGTTGATCCAACTACCCCTGTCTTACCTGATATTGAATAAATCCAAAAATACTAATGACAGTACAGTATACAAGAGCAGAAGTGAAAACCAAAAAGTCCATACGCAATGGTTATATAAATCTTGCTGTATCTTATTCTTAAGCTACCCTCCAAGACCCCTCCCTATGTTTCCAAGGAAATAAAATCCTCCAGGATCCCACTTCCCATCAAACGTTCAGCACCCAATTAATGATCATTAACAGCAACAGGACCAGCTTTTTTCTAGCCAAGCTGTCATAGATCCAACAGTTCCACCCCACAGTTTTCCAGCTAGGAACTGCGAGGACAAAAAAGCACAAGCTGCCAACCAAAACCCCTACGGAGACAGGAGAAACCTACGCTGGTCAAGCTCAAAGGTGGCTGACAGTCTGACACCTTTTCGACGGAATGCTCTAATCTTGCAGTTGACAGTGAGATTATTGAGTTACTAATCAGACCATTGGAGCAGAACATTTCACGCGAAATTTAGGAACACGCAACACAGGCAACTTGATTGGGAACTTTGGGCAGAATAAATGTAACCAGCGAATTTTAACAGGCTATTTTTATTCTCTGTGCTGGAAGAAAACACAGCTTTTGCAGGTTCCCAATGTAATCATTGGGGGAAGAGCTGAAACGGGGACAGAAAGATCAACAGACCGGTCAATGCAGCGATTGCACGTCGAAATTCCATAGTTTTCTGCATCGTATTCTCTCGCATGCAAAAATCTCGCCTTCCGCAGTAGGCAGTAGTAGTACACACTTTACCTCGACCGAGTACCTAAACCAACCCCGACGCATCGCTGAATCCAAAGAAACGCTCCCGGCGGGTGAATCGCGCAAATCAAAACCCCACCCAACGAAAGCAAGGATCCGCACCGAGAAAATCGTGGCGGCAAGATCATCCATACCTTGGGCTTCGGGAGACAGAGGCCCCGATCGGAGCCTCCCTCCCCGCTGCGAGCGCGAAGGCGACCGAAGCGGGAGCGGCAGCGGGGGAGGAAGGAGGAGGAGGTGGCGGTGGTGGCGACGCAGGCAGCTGGGCTGGGGCTGGGCAGGCGGGCTCCCCCTTCTCCTTCTCGAGGAAGGAAGTCGTGCGCGCAACAACCAAAAGAGAGAGAGAGAGAGGGAGGGAGGAGAAATGCGTAAACCGTCTGTTTCACTACTGCACGTAGCGTATCGTCTTCGCGGCGTTTTCCGCAACGCCTGTGCTGTTTTGCTGCCTGCCTTCCCCGCAGATCTGGTGCGGGGCCCGGTTACAAGCAGTGTGACAGAAGGTTTTTAGCAAAGACTAGTCAATGTGGACGTTAATTTGGAAGTATATTAAATGCATGCGGATATTAAGTAGGATATTATTTGTGTGTTATTACGTGATTAGCATGCGGATATTAAGTAGGATATTATTTGTGTGTTATTACGTGATTAGCACTATATTGGCATGAAATTAACTGCATGCTAAACGTGTTGAGCGCTCGACATTGAAGCAGTGTAGGTTGTTGGATTGACATGATTTAATGGCCAAATTAATTCGATCTGCCCCTTTGGGTCTTTTTATATTGGTGTAGATATAGATACCGGATATCGTCGGGGCCAAAAACGTTGTACAACCAAACCCTTCAAAATCACTTCATATGTCCAGCCTGTCTCGCACATCTCAAACCCAGCCCATCACATACGGGACGGATATCGGTACGCCCGTACGTGCTCGTGCTCGTACCCGTTCGTCACCAAAAGTGCAAACCTCTAGCCCCCCCTCTCGTTTCCTACAGTCTGCGTCGCCACAGCTTCCCTATCCTCGTCCCCTTCCGCTTCGACCCCACCGGCCTCCCTTGTCCGTCAAAAGGTTACGTATTACAAACTGCTGAAGTCGGAGCACCAGGTAGAGATAGTAGCCGAGATGCGCATCACCGGTGCACGTCGCGCCACTCACATTGCGGAGGAGGAGGATGTAACTGGCGGAGGAGAAAGCCGTCATGTAGGAGGAGGCGGACATGGAGCAGGTGGAGGAAAAGTTCCACCTCGCCCAAGCCGGGAGGCGCATTCAGAGGCCGAGCACGCGGTTGCTACCACCTTCGCGACACTTGTCGCCGATCTCGTCCTTGTGGCCGAAAACCAGGCCATCCTAGAGTTGCTCCAGTCCGAGTGGGAGATGGCGTCGAACCACTCACATCCGCAATGTGAGGCGGGAGCAACTGTTCGTGGAGGAGGAGTGATACGTCTTCAACGTATCTACTTTCCCAAACACTTTTGCCCTTGTTTTGGACTCTAACTTGCATGATTTGAATGAAATTAACCCGGACTGACACTGTTTTCAGCAGAACTGCCATGTTGTTGTTTATTGTGCATAAAACAAAAGTTCTCGGAATGACCTGAAAATCCACGGAGATAACTTTTGAAAAATATAAAAAATACTGGCGAAAGAATCAAGGCCAGGGGCCCACACCCTATCCACGATGGTGGGGGGCGCGCCCTCCCCCCTGGGCGCGGCCCCTGTCTCGTGGGCCACCTGATGCTCCACCGACCTCAACTCCAACTCCATATATTCCGTTTCGTGGAGAGAAAGTTTCATCGCGTTTTACGATACGGAGCCGCCGCCAAGCCCTAATCTCTCTCGGGAGGGCTGATCTGGAGTCCGTTCGGGGCTCCGAAGAGGGGGATTCATCGCTGTGGTCATCATCAACCATCCTCCATCACCAATTTCATGATGCTCACCGCCGTGCGTGAGTAATTCCATCGTAGGCTTGCTGGACAGTGATGGGTTGGATGAGATTTACCATGTAATCAAGTTAGTTTTGTTAGGGTTTGATCCCTAGTATCCACTATGTTCTGAGATTGATGTTGCTATGACTTTGCTATGCTTAATGTTTGTCACTAGGGCCCGAGTGCCATGATTTCAGATCTGAACCTATTATGTTTTCATGAATATATGTGAGTTCTTGATCCTATCTTACAAGTCTATAGTCACCTATTATGTGTTATGATCCGACAACCCCAAATTGACAATAATCGGGATACTTCTCGGTGATGACCGTAGTTTGAGGAGTTCATGTATTCACTATGTATTAATGCTTTGGTCCGGTTCTCTATTAAAAAGAGTCCTTAATATCCCTTAGTTTCCACTAGGAACCCACTACCACGGGAGGGTAGGACAAAAGATATCATGCAAGTTCTTTTCCATAAGCACGTATGACTATATTCGGAATACATGCCTAATTACATTGATGAATTGGAGCTAGTTCTGTGTCACCCTATGTTATAGCTATTACATGAGGAATCGCATCCGACAAAATTATCCATCGCTGATCCAATGCCTACGAGCTTTTCACGTATTGTGCTTTGCTTATTTACTTTTCCGTCGCTACTGTTACAATTACTACAAAACTGCTATCTTTACTTTTGCCATTGTTACCATTACTATCATATTACTTTGCTACTGAATACTTTGCTGCAGATACTAAGTTATCCAGGTGTGGTTGAATTGACAACTCAACTTTTAATACTTAAGAATATTCTTTGGCTCCCCTTGTGTCGAATCAATAAATTTGGGTTGAATACTCTACCCTCGAAAGCTGTTGCGATCCCCTACACTTGTGGATTATCAAGACTATTTTCTGGTGCCGTTGCCGGGGAGCATACCTCTATTCTTTGAGTCACTTGGGATTTATATCTGTTCATCACTGTGAGGAACTTGAAAGACGAAAGAACTAATATTTTTCCCTCAACTACGAGGGGAGGTAAGGAACTGCCATCTAGCTCTGCACTAGATTCTCCTTCTGTTTTGAGTAAGCTTGCGACACCTAAACCTGCTACTGCTATGAATTCTGATATGTCGCATGTTATTGATGATGCCACTTCTGCTATACATGATACTTATGATGAAACTATTTCTGTGCATGATACTACTTTGCCATTAGGTGAATTTCTTGATGACCAACTTGCTAGGGTTAGAGAGAATGAAATTATTGAA